GGTTAATATTATCTTGTATATTATAAAGTACAGTAAGTCAATAACCTGTGATTACTTAGTTTTGTTATTAGGTAAATATTAATATAAGTAGGCTTATAATTAACTGTAGTATAAGTATTCATTTAAATACTAGGCCAAGAAGTGGAATATATACTGTATTATATATCTGGACATGTTTTGGACCAAAATCTAATAGGATTTGCTATTAATACTGCTATCTTCAAGTATGTAGGATTGTAAGTATGTGGTCTAAAGTAAAACTATAAAGTAGTGCTATGTTATTGTTAGAAGAAAAGATATTGTATTTGAGAAGAGTGATACTAAGATATTGTGTGATTATTTTTGTGAAGATTTTCTGTGTATGCTTAATTAGGATAATGGGTCTAGTGTAGTTGAGATTATAGTTGTATATTTGCTTTTTTGAAATAGGCTGATGTTTGCTTTTAACTATGGAGTTGGCAGAACTTTGAGTTTAAAGCATGCATTAAAGATATAAAGTAGGGCTATTTTGCTATTAATATTTAGATTTTGTAGTATTTTATTTGCAATATCAGTGAGTTTGAAGCCTTTGTATATAGTGCATTGTTTAGAGTGTGGTTTAGCTTTTGTAGAGCAATTGGTTTTGTTAGAGAGCTGTAAATCTGTAGAGGAAGGTGTTTTTGGGGTTGGTAGAACTCTGCTCATTCTGCTACATAGTGGTTATTAGAAGAATTATGTTTTGTTCAATTTTGAAAGTGGGTGCGAGTAGCTTGTTTAATATCCTGTGGCTATCAATTTTTTGTTTGATTGTGCCAAATACTAACCTGTATTTAAATGAATAGAATTTGTTTATTTAGGAACAGAAAGCAGTTGGCTTAATAAAATTTGGAGTTATTTAATTTTTAACAGAATTTTTGTTAAAAAAATTTTGTATAAGTAATAGACAAGAAGAGATGGTCTATATAGATTATTAATTAATTCTACAACCAATCTAAATTTATTATATTCATAAAATAAACAGGTAGTCAAAATTTTATAGCACTATAATCTTTAATATATTGATTTATTTTTGATTTAAAGTTGGTAGTAAAACAACTAGCAAAAAGTTTGACTTTTTTGCAATTATAAATTGAGCATACAGTTAAATTTATACTATTTAATTTTTAATTCTACTAATAGATAATTTATATAAATATCTAAGAGCATTAATAATATCATATACTAATATTTTTTTAGTTATAAAATTGAATATAGCCCATGCTTATACAAAGCAATACATAAATTTGTACTACTAAACTATGAATCAGCAATAGTTCTACCAGTTTGAAATCATAATTCGGATAATCATAATATAGATGCAACTATTGATAAATAATAATTAAAAAAAATTTTTAGTATACTCTAGAGATTTTCAAAGTCTAGTTGTAAGTATAAACGTGAATATGAAGAAGAAAAAGCATTAGCAAATGCACTTTACAAAAATACCATATTGACTTTGTAAGAATACTATGCTGACTTCTTTGATACTTCACAGTATTAATCGTAGATCAGAAGGTGGAAACGCTTTCGTAAATGCATTTTATGAGAATAATATTTGTCGCAGCTGAAGCTGGAAATGGCTGATGCTGGAAATTTTAATTATTTTAATATGAAATTTTCAAAAATATTTGAGACCTGTTGTTAGGGGTTTTTTTTAGAGTAGGGTAGGATTTAGAGGTAGTTTTAATAATAAAAGAGTATAAGCGGATTTTTGTAGAGTTTATATTTTCAAATCAAGGTCCCTAGTTTCCAGCTTCAGCATTTCCAGCATCAGCTGCTACAATATTTATTTTAAATCTTCGATTAATAATATTAAATGTACTTTGCAAACAATAACTGAAAGAATTATTCTTTATCATATACGATTAGGGCTGTTAAGTGTACCGAATCAAACTGGTGGATCATCAGTCCGTCCTAGGACCGGGATAGTCCTGTCTTTTTCGGGACAGACTCGTCGGTCCTGATAAAAATAATCTAATTCTGCGATTTTTGCTGTATTTGATCTAACAGATTAATTTAGATCATGTACACATTTAAGGCTGTTAATCAGTCCGATTAAAACCGCTGGTCTTATGCTCTGTCTTAGGACCGGGCCAGTCTGGTCTTTTATAGGACGGATCAAAAAGACTAATTTAGCATAAAATTATTTCAACGAACATATATACAGTCGTCCTCCTCTATAGTCACCTCCTATATAATCCCACCTTTTCATAAGCACTATTTTTTAAAATTAATGGCAATATATTTATTAAAAAAACTCTGTATAATCACATTGCTATTAAAATTTTATAATCACATCTTTTTTATGTAAAACAAACAGCGTGGTTATAGAGGGGGGTAACTGTACTAATTTTTTGCAATTTTGTTGGGTTTAGATTATGAGCACTATATAATATACAGTACAAGTGTAAATAGGCACCATGCAACTTTGAGTTCAGATAAGACTAGAATTTATAATCAATATTTTGTATATAAATTTTCTTAAAATCAAGTTAAAAGAACCATAAAATTAGCACAAATAAGAAATTAATAATAGATACATAGATTATTCCACATTTCAATCAATAAATTAATAAGTTTTCGAATGCCTTAACAGATTATTTTATACTTTTCGGTTAAATTAAATAATTGACTTAATGAGAAATGGTAGATAATTTATAATCTTACCGAGATAGAATAGTTTAAGGAGCAGCAAAAAATTTTTTGTTTATTTTAGACTATATTTACAGACTAATTTAATATAAATATTTCTAATTTTATGAATATCACCAACTACAGTAAATCAATGATTAAAGGTAATTCTTCATTTTGTATGATGCCATGACGGCGGATCTAAATATAATTTGTAGAAATACTTTGATTTACAAATTTCACAAGTTATACATCTTCATATGAGTTCCTGTCTACGGAAAATCTGTCATGATAATAGATTTGTGATAGACGGCTAACTGTACACAAAATATAATTGAAAGTCCGATGACAGGGTTTCCCCTGGCGGCACTCATATATAATATTATAAACGAGATCAGATTTAAAATAGTACGTACGTGTATTTTACACCCCTTACCATATATTTTGGTCATTCAACTATCCGAATCTTCTGTAATTTCTAAAGTACTTGTTTTAAAAACCATTCTGTACGATCTGCTATTGGGTATTTATACATTTTATACATTGTTGTACACGTTTAGTCATTGTGATAAAACCAGTAAATGTCAAAAATATTCAAATTTATGTATATGCTTTGGAGGATAATCAGATTCCCATAGCCTTGGAACTCATATGTTTAACATTAATAATTCGAAGCAAATTAAGAACGTAAGTTGTGCCTTACCGTTTACATGAAAAAATAATTGATAAAAATGTACAGGACACTCGTGACGGACGATAATTTATTATAAGAATATACGAGGTTAATTTAAGAGCTTATATTATAATAACAGGATTTTTTTAACAAGGATTATATATGCTTATCTAATATTTTAATCAAAATGATTGTATACTTACAGTATAGGCCCGTAAAATGTCTACAGAAACCATGTGCATGATTCTCAAAATTCGTGCGCGCATGTCATCACTAGTTCTAATAATAGACAAGTTTGAATACAGTATTTTTTTAGAGGTAGCTTTTATGTAATAAAGCGAGTAATAAACAAATAATTTGAATGGAATCTATAATAATAATGGGTAATAATGTACAATAATTGATATGCTGGTCCAACTTATGTGGCATTTAATTAGTCTAACAATCAGTCCGTCCAGTCTCATACTGTCTAATCAGTCTTGGACCGCAGTCCAGTCTACTTTTTTAAAAGATTGTATCAAGATGAACCGGACGGACCAACTAATAGCTCTATATACGATAATTTTCTGTGGGGATAAAACCTAAAATTCTATAAATTCAGTGCGTGATGTGACCAATCTGTAGCGTACATGGCCAAATTATGTGAAACACATAAATCACTATCCTTGATTTATGATGTTAGTGCTGTCAATGATGTGAAATCAAATAATTCATCTATTAAATTACAGGTATTCAGTAAAGTAGTACTGTACGGCATTATAGATTCAGACAAACGTACGTAAATTTTGATCGTACGTACGGTTAATATATTAGACACCGTTTAATGTGGCAGATCATAATGAAATCGGATTAAAATGAAACTGGGGACCTTTCTTGCTCATCTTTAAAGCTTATAAAACCCACTTATACTCTTTTATTAATAAAACTCACTCTAAACCCTAACTCTAACACTAACCCTAACCCTAAAAAATGTCCCCCAAAAAATTTTAAATTTTCCTAAAAAAATAGAAAAATTTCATTTTAATCCGATTTCATTTTAATCTGCCACAATTAATAATTGACATACGTGAGTTTAAATTTTATACCGATTAAAATTTAACGTACATACATCAAGTATTTTTAATTTAAAAGAATTTTTTTTAAAAAAATTCTTATTGATTTTCTTCGCAAAATGGCTTCAAATGCTTTATTAGTTATGTGTATAGTCGAATGGCCGAAAAAAATGAAAGTATAATTGATTATTCAAAATATGTTCGCTGTTTAGCTGGCTTAAAAACTCATCTAAGCACAAAAACCAAGCTTTATTGGCTCTGAATATCTTTAAATTAGTACCTCACAAAACTCAACTAATAAGACTCTTCGAAATATTACGAAAATCTAATAAGAAATTTTTATTTGCCTTTTAATAATATTATAAAAAAAAAACTTAATATATTGGTTGTATATTGCTCGTAAAAAATTTTTTGTCACATTAATTATAGCTATTTTTTTGTTTCTGTTAGAAGTTATTTCAGTCTCTGTTTAGCAGTATGTTATTTATCTAATTTAAATGATAAATTTTGAAAATTAATAAAAATTTAATTAATTTTACTTCAAAAAATTTCAAAAGTATATTATTGCGCTAGAATTTTAGAAAAATTTAAAGGTATACTCTAGGTTCCGAGCAACACCGATGCAATTATTTAAATTGCATAATTGGCAACTCTGAATATTTTCTTCGTGCAGCCCTTAAATATCAAAAATATTTAATCATAAATTTTTTTTTTAAAAAAAAAACTTTTAATTTTAATTTCATTAAAAAGAAGTTTACCTTTTTTGTTCAAGTGATTCTTTCTCAGTTCGTAATAATTCTTCTTGTTCTTCCCGTGATAAGTCAGCACCAGGTAATTCTTGTAATATTTGATGACATCGTTGGAACTTTTCTTTTAGCTTTTTTGTCTTTAATAATTATACCATTTTGAAAAGTTATTACAACAATTAAGCACCTTCTGAAATTCTATATAAGAAACGTATTTAATTAAAATTTCTACTTTTGATGTATGTACCATATTTCTAATTTCAATTTCATTCTTGCCGGAAGAAACTTTATCAAGGATTTGCACGACTTGAGGTAAAAAAGAAAATTCTTCTCGTGGAAAACGGTCAAGTTCTGACGTTGATTCTGTGTGTTCGTAATCTTGCATATTTAAAAAATAAAAAGCAATTTTTTTATCATTAAGTATTTATATATGTAATACAGATCATCTGTATATTTGTACAACTTGTACAACATAACATGTCGTACAATATGACATTTTAATACTGTATGGTTTTTTTTACAGATTTTGACAATTCTGATGGAATATTTCAAGTCGAAATAGTTATTATTGGTTAAAATGAATAAGTATAAATCATTTATATACAATCTAAAATTTTCAAAAGCAAATTTTAAGTAGCTAAATTTTGGTTCTAATTTTGGCGACGACTATCTAAAAAATTTACAATTTATTTTATTTAAAAATTTAGGTTTATTTTATTCGCGTTTATTAATATAAAGTTTTACTAATCTAAGCGAAAAATTATCTAATTTATTTTATCCGTATTAATTTAGCGTGTAAATATAAAGAACGTTTTTTAATATTTACTGGTTAATTATATTTTAAATTTAGTATTAATATTTAAATAAGCTATTTCAATAATATAGTGAAATTTCGGCCTTCTTAAGGATTGCTGTAAACTATATATTACCAGCTAATCTAAGAAAAATTTTCCTATATTATTGCATCATTAATAACATTTTGACACAAAAGCATTTCGGTATTTCTACATATTGACATTATAGCATATTGGCATTAGGGCTCACAATTATTGTATATAAAATGCAATTTGTACTGTAATTACAGTAATTTATAAAATTAATTCTACTATCAGTTATAAGTCATACTTGAGGACGATACTAATAAAATGTGATTTCATATTTTGCGAAACTATTTGAACTCTTTAAAAAATTAAAGATTTATTTAAAGCAAAATAATAGCAAGAACAAAACAGAATTCAGTTTAAATTAACATAATAATTAGAAAAGCAATGATCTTATTAAGATAGTTTTAGAAATTCAAACAACTGTTAAATCAAAAAATCGATGAGTACTATTAACGAATTTGTATACACTGAGAATAAAAGCTATTAAAACTAATGAATACCGATTTGTTATTCAAGAAATAAAAAAACAACATTGAGCATATTCGGTGCTGTAAGCGTGACAGTATCCGTCACAAGTTGCAAGACACTCTTCAATAGTGTGGAAACCAAAACCGTTACATACAAAATTATCACACACATCCCTGAAATTTTTAAAATACAATTTGCGTTTTTAGCGTTTGTTAGATAAATATATTTATATATCATTTATTACCTTTTTTTCATTAATGGTAATGCTTCTCTTCGATAATGAGGACTAGCGATTGCTACTACATTGATGGTTGCAAGAGCTAATAAGAGGGTTAACAAGAACTTGTAATTCATTTTAAGAGGTATACTTTTTTTATTAAATGTCAGTGGAAGCAAAATGAAAACTTTAAAAAAATTGGAAGTGAATTAAGCGAATATTTATAAGTGAAAATGTACTGTATGAGGCTTTTCGCATAACAATAATAGGAAGTCCACATTTGTTACTAGGATTATTAATATTTAGCACACAATTAATATGCACAGCCGGATTGAACATAGACTCTTTTATAATTTTACTAACGCTAACTCTAGTAAACGGAAGTTCTAACAGTTATTTATGCGCAAGAAAAAAATGTATGAAGCTTTTACATAACAATAAGCCCTCAAAATAAAGAATTACAATTATTTATGCATACAACTAAAATATATTTTTGGTACCCAAATATTTCTAGCGCATTTATGTTATAAAGCTTTTTGATTGACTACCCATGAATATTAGGTTGGGATGTTAACGGCTGGCTGGCTTGGCTCAGTTGGCTCAAAACTCAAGTCATGGTTTTATAACTATGTTTAAGCCATGATTTTAAGCTGGCTATAATTTTTAATCAATTTATAAAAAATAAACTTAAAAAATAAATAAATTTTAATGTTAATAGGTATGCTGAATTTCGAAACCAAAATTTTATATATTCTAAGTTAACTTGTATTGCAACAGAGTTTTAAACACTCGGCTAAAAAATTCAAATACCATTTAATAAATGGGTTTAAAATTATCATCTCAATACAAATAATTACATTTTAATTACTAAATAAAATATCAGGAACGGGGTGTTATGTATTATAATACTCTGTAGATGATTTTATGGCGTTTCAAACAGGATCTGTACACTATTGTTCTAAGTCGATCAAATCAGCCGCTTAGCCAATCGCTTAGCCACTTAGCCGGCTGATTGTTTTGAGTACGCTTATGTGAAGAAAATCCCGAGCTGAAGATCACATCTGACCCAATATTTTTCGTTCGAATCCAATAAATTACAGGGTATGGTAATATGGTATAACACAACAAATGTACGAAGTGGAAATAACACATAAGGTAGCCACGCGACGCTGTCACGAGAAACCAGGAATGTGAATTTATGAATAAACGTATATATAGCAACTAGATTTTATATCCAATAGCATTGTCTTATACGTATTTATAAAAAATATTGATAAAGACAATATAGGCTATTGAAATGAAGCATTATCTAATCTATAAACGTAGAAATTATTATTACGTTGCATACTTAGGGGAATGCTTTTTATTACATAATTTCTTTTTATCAGAAGGTCTGACCCTTTTTCTCTAGGTAATTGAATTAGCAGTCATTCATAATTATTCTGTATAACATATACAGTCGATGTGATATGACTGCTAACCTTCCCCTCCCTCTTAAATTACGTAATGAATGGCACTCTCCTTATATATAGAAAATAATCAGGCAAAAATTATAAATATTTAATAATACAAGCACTAAAATTATGCATTAGAACATTGAATATAATAAGATTGTAATTATAATTTATAATTAATTATTGTCACTGATCTTAATAAATCAAATTAGAATGAAATTTAAAGTTTTTAATTAATCTCCTAAAACCCATTTATACTTGTTATTAATCAATTATGTTATTTGGTCTTGGATGATCTAATTTTAACGAACAATAAATATTAAATTATCAATATTCTTTACTGCTCTACAGCATTAATAAAAATAATAAATGTCGCGGCTGATGCTGAAATTTAGGGTCCCCGTTTAAATCTATAATACCTACTAAAATTCAAATATACTTTTTTTACTAATTACACTAACCCTAAACCCTCACCTAACCCTAAAAAAAAACCCCCTAACGAAAAGGTCCAAAAATTTTTTAAAATTTCATAATAAAATAAGTCAAATTTTCAGCATCAGCCAATTTCAGAATCAGCCACCACAATAAATAACTATATAATAAGATTAAGATGAGTAATGAGAATATAAATTTTTAGTCCAAAATTTTATGCATGAAGATTTGTCGCTGTGATATAAGATAAATATATAGATAACTTGTGATAAATTTCTTATAAATAAATATAATAGTTTTGTATACAACAAAGAGTCTAATATAATATATTATTTTATATAAGTTTTAAACTTTATTTAACCAAATACTTTACAGAAACCTATGTTTTTTTCTAAATATCTTTAAAATATAAATATAATATATTTATAATATTATTATAATTTTATTAAAATAGAAATATAATAAATATATTTAAAAATATAATAAAAAAATTTTTTTTGTTATTTAATAATATCCAAGTTGTAATAATATTTTTAAAATTGATTAAAATTATAATACAAAAAATATTAAAATAATTAAAATATATTAAATATATAATAAGCATATTTTTTAATAAATAAAAAATAATTATAATAATAATAATAGTAAATTTATTTGTTATTATACATAATATGCATAGTTATTTGTTATGTGATTTATTTATTAAATATAGAATTATATATTATATAAAAGAATTAAACCAATTAAGATTTTGTAAAAAATTATTTACAGCATATGTTAACAAGTTATATATTATTAAGATAACATATATTTTATTTATATTTTAAACATATTTAGCAAAAAATATAGGTTTTTGTAAAGTACAGTGCTTGTCAAAAGTATTTTTGCATCTAGTTCTCGGCACAATCAAACAAAAATTTGTCAGTCAAATACTTGTTAATACTTATGTTTAAATCGGATGTTAAACGATTGC